GTAAAGGCAAAATGTTCACTAGTTAACTAGTTGACGCCTCTTTTGACCTTACTAGTTAACTAGTGGGGCTCAAAATGTCTACACGTTAACTAGTGAACCCTTTGCCTTTTATTAGTTAACTAGTGAGAGAAGTTTAAATTCCAAAAGTGAACTAGTGAGGCTTAAAATGTTCACTAGTAGCACTAGTGGATCCCAAATGTGCACTAGTCACACTAGTTGCACAGAATGCTAATGAGGAGGAGGGGAAAGAACGCATCGAGGTCTCCTATTGGCCCTAAGATATAGAGCGCCACCCAGCCCAAATAGTTTATTTAAGAGCTTAAATACACTGTTTTAAAATATGACCATATTTACAAAAATATAAAACAAAAGTATTTGTGTTATTATGATCATATGACTGTATATCAAATTAGGTAAGAACATTGAAGACTTTCTTAAAATTAGAAAGTTGCCTTCAGACTGCAGGTAGGAATATAGATCCTCTTTAAAACATTTTATTAAGCTGCAATTTGAAAGTGGCTTGGATTAGAATATCAGTGATAACAGAGTGACATTATTGATGGATAGAAAGAGGAAGTAACCCTCTTCGGATCACAGCTTTGAGAGATCGCCGTGACTTCCGTAAATATTAGTCTTGGCAAATATGGAGAGGTTGTTTATCTTCATACGGATCTATCGTTACCCTGATTTTAAGATCTGTCCAGTGTTTCTGCTTTATCCATTTCATGAGCACCGCTGATAAAATGTCCCACGATCACTTCCTCTACTTTTGTGTCTCGAGTGCCGGTGTTCTCACACACAAGCGTGCGCACATTCGCACCAACAAAAACACACACACAAAGCAGAAGCATAAACATGTATTTTTCTAGGCAAAACACACACTGACTGATTTCCCACGGACAATATGTTAACAGTAGGCACTAAATACCCGACTGATGCACCTCACGTCTTCAAGACGTTGCTAAAAACATCGCAGGAGAACGCCCCCTCAGGCTCTCCCTCACAGAGCCGAACTGACCAATCAGAATATGGGTCCCGCCTGCTTCATTTGCATATATAGGCTCACTAGTGAACGTGTATGGCCTTCACGTTCACTAGTGAGCCATATGAACTGCAACTAGTTAACTAGTGGATGCATATCGGTCTCCTATTGGCTCTTAAGATAGACCTCGCCCATCGATTTTCACAGAAGTTCAAACACAAGATGGCGGGCGTTGTACTGAGACGTATAAGAAGAAGATGTACTGAGATTCAAAGAGCATTTAATCAAGGATCTTTGGGCCGAACAGAAGTTTACGCTATCAACAGCTCTATAGCTAACGTAAGAAGGGTTGGAGATACTATTGGCGCCCAGGCTGTGCAGGATATAGTTCAAAGTCTCACTGATCTCAGATCTTTCATCTCCGGACCTCAAGCTTCAAATGCCCTACATACTGGTTTCCATGCAGCACACCTTGTGCATTCAGGTGAATTACTAACTAACATTGATAAATGACTTGCCTTGACTTTAGGGCTGTACCTGAATATTCGAATATCTGAATATTCGTTCGTTGGAATACTATTCGGGTTTCAATTTCGTTATTCGGATATTCGTTTTGTTTTTTTTATTCCCGTTTTTTCTTCAAATTGAATTTATTGAAATCTCCAATATCAACGTAAGAGCTTGTGCCTCTTCGGGGGGTGCTAACACTTAACCATAAACGTTATCGTTTACTTTCTCCGTCTTTATATGTAGATATTACTTTTCTTCGTTAATCTCCGTCACGTTGTTTCCAAAGCAACAACAACTTCCTGTCAACAGCGCTACCTCTCCTTCAAAATAAAAGCATGTCCATGAATAGGAAGCCAACTGTATACAACTGCAACGAAAGTAACAAACACAATGCGATATCTTTTTCAATTTCAAAGAACACAAATTGGGTTAATAACTATAAAACAACAATACTGTAGAATAACAAAATGAATGCCGTGATTACACCAACATACACGCGTTGAAGCAGTGTGCTGATGATTACTACGCCACTTTTTTTTACCAGTTTATATAACTTTGAACTCACATGAATATTAATGTGACCTGTTGTTAACAGACTTACTTAACATTTAAAAACTCATTGTTCTGTTGATGAACGTTCTGATGAACTGTTATAATAATTATACATGTTTATATAATTGATATTATATATTTTCCTTTTTTATTTCCATATCATAAGGAAGACGAGGAAGACCTGCTCTTGACATAACGAGGGGGCAAATTGAGCTGCTCCTAGGTCAAGGTTTTACCGTGAGAGCAATGGCAAGGATGTTGGGCTGTTCCTCCTCATTCCTTCATAAAAAAATGATGTCTTTAAATACTTCAGCAAGGAACAGATTCACTACCATTAGTGATCCTGACCTAGAAGAGCATGTCAGGAGACTCCACAACCAGTTTCCTAGATCAGGTTCAGAAGTAAGCATACTAGTTTATATTCCCTTTTAGAGTTTGTTTATATATAACATTTTATAGAAAATGTTCTGTATCTTATTTGTCTTTTTAAATTAACCACTTTCAGATGATGAGGGCATACCTACACGCAGAAGGGATTGTGGTACAAAGAAGAAGAGTTAGAGAGACTCTAAAGCAAATCGATCCAGCTGCAGCAGCACAGAGATGGGGCCAGACTGTGGCTAGGAGAACCTACTATGTGCCCTTTCCTAACAGCTTGTGGCACATAGATGGCCATATGCGTCTCATTCGGTAATCAGCTCTTGAATTTGAAAGAAAGCAATTATAGTAGTAATTATAATCTTCTAATCCAGCCTAGTTTTGTTTATTATTTTCCTCTTTCACTATATAATCTCAATCATTTTCTTATCAACAACATTTATAGAAGTATTGGATATATTGAACAAATGTTATAAAGATAACCTTTAAGGTATTTAATGTAATGCATTAATTCCTTGTTCTATTCATTCCATTATTTGCACAGGTGGGGGCTTGTGACACATGCCGGAATTGATGGGAACTCCAGACTCGTAACTTTTATCAACTGCGGCACTGACAACACAGCTTTGACAGTGCTAACCCATTTTGTTCGAGCTACCTGACGGTATGGGTTACCATCCAGAGTCAGGTCTGACCACGGCGGGGAGAACACTCTAGTTGCCCTCTTGATGAACCTTCTACAGGGAAACGGAGAAGTGAGGCACATTACAGGCCAATCTGTACACAACCAACGTATTGAGCGTCTTTGGAGAGATGTTTTCCAGCAGGTTGTGCACTATTTTTACACACTTTTTTATTCCTTTGAAGATGAACAAATATTGAACCCCGAAGATGACATTCAGAAAATGGCACTACAAATCGTTTTTAAACCAGAAATCCAAAAAAGACTAGATTTATTCAGACATGCGTGGAACAACCATAGACTAAGAACTGCTAACAATCGTACACCAACACATATTTGGATGGAGGGCATGCTAGCCAACAGGGAGCAACATTCAACAGCTATAGACAATGTCTTTGGAAATGATCCCTACAGCCAAGAAAATATTGAAAATGGCTTGGCAAGACATGGCATACGGCTCGATCAGTTGCAAGCAAACAATGATGATCTTGAACGAGCAGTGATAGTGCCACAACCACACATTATCCTGAGCTCTGAACAACAGCAAGATCTCCAAAATGCAATGACTGGAACAAGTGACTTAAAGGACAGGTATCTGCTTTGTGTTAGACAGATTCAAAACATGCTCTAATTGAAAGAACATAATGTGACTACAAAAAACTATTAAGTGTGAGGGGATATTATTCACTATTACTGTAAATTATAGGCTACAAGATATAACTCCACGAATAAACGCCCGTTTCAAAGAACCGACCTGTGTCTGTGTCGTGAAGAGAGCTACAATGACCATCCACACTCCTCCCCTGCTTCTATCTCCCTCCTCTCCTCTTCTGTTTCCAATACCGTTCTCCCCAACTACACTGGGTAACACCACTGAAAATACACACTAGAAAAATGAATTTTTGGTTCAGTAAATAATACTTTTAACACATGTTACTTGTTAGACGCTTTTATCCAAAGCGACTTACATACTCAATACTGTGGGTGAAGTGTCTCAGGGACACAACGACATGCTGACTGCAGTGGGACTCGAACTTGCTATCTTCTGATTTGAAGATCAGCGCATTAACCCACTGCGCCACACACATCCCATATTATGTGTTTAAATTCTAGAAGAAATTACTAATGTTCTTTTACTCAACATCTCTCCTTTTATGTAATGTGTTACTTGAATTTGCAAGTAATTTGTTATCTTCATTTTGTTAAATACATTTAAATCATAGCACCAAGTACATGTAAAATCAGATTTATTATTCCTATAGGTGGATTTACAGCATATGTCAACATACATATCATGTTTGAAGTACTTAACAAATCAAAGGAATGGAACACAATTCTGAGCTTCCGAACCACGCTAATACAAGGTCCCTCTTAAAACAGGGCCAAGTTAGAAGTTACTGCTCACAGGACAAGAAATTGTTTGCCACTTGAACGCCCATAAAACTGCAACTTGTAGAATGACTTAAGTTTATGAACAAATAAAAACAACAAATAAATGATGATATATTATTATACATTTAGCTACCAGCCAGGAGTTACATTTATCCCTATCTTTACCAGCAGCAGCATAAGGGACATTTTGCACAATGTTACATCCAATGTACTTTTATTAAAGTAACATTATTTTTAAACTTTGTATGACGGGCTTTGCAATAACATATGGTATTAACATCAGAGCATTTATAAGTAGGGAGTCAAAAATGAACCGTCGAGAACAAAGCAACAATTGAGGTATCATTAGTGCACTTCCTGAACGCAGTTTCCATATTTATGGCAATAATGTCAAATTTCACCCAGTGCAAAATTGCAGTAATACTTTCTCCCTCATCTTATCGTCATACTCTGCACACCCTCCCAATCCTCCTCCTACTCCTCTCTTCCTCCTTGTCTATTTTTCTAGACCTTTAAAAAGCCCAACGAGTCTTTCACTGACTGGTTCAGTATGTTGTGAAGCTCTTGTTCCTCTGTGATGCCTCTTGGTAGGAACAACGTCATAGCACAGGTTGAGGCATATGGCAAACGACGCACGCCGGCCTCCTGTGTATAAAAGTCAATGGAGGGCTTGTTTGGAAAGCCAAGCGTTGGAACTTCATCTGCCCCAGTGATGAAAATCAGCAGGTCCTCAAATGTCAGTTCAGTCAGTTTGTCTGCCAATGACAAAAGTGTATATTGGAATATTTATTTTCATTTTTAAAGTCAAATGTGGAACATAATAATATCACTAAAGTAATTTAACATCAAACATTAATCAATAATGTAGTTTACATTTATTTGGCTTTATGGTATATTGACATCAACATGTGTATTTGCCCCTTTTTGTATTTGCATTAGCTACATTGATATTAAATTAAATCGATTTTCTTTTTGTAAAGCATCCATCAATAACAGTATTTACTGAGTTATAGTCATTTCATATGAGGTGCTTTTACATTTTCCTTAAGGTATAAAATGTACCTTCGATGAGGTTTAGGACCAACTCCCAGCTGTATATTGTGTCCTCCTCTTTTTCCCGGTGATTTGTTCCTCTTGGACTGTATTCATATTTTAATATGGCCTTAAAGGAGGATTTTGTCAGCGGGGTCCTCATGTTGGTGAAGCAGGGAAGGAAGGCAATCCAGTTGTTCCTGACCAGGTCCCACAGGTTCCCAAAAGCATTCATGCCCTCCGTGAATTGGTTCACCATCTTGGCCGTTCTATAAGCCAACAAAGATCAAACATGTATATAACCTGAATAAAAACTGATGCGTTTTTTTGGAAAGGACTAAAAAGCAGTGATAATAGGAAAGAGCATACATAATTTGCAACATTTTAACCTACATTAAGGAAAACACATAACTTATAAACACTGTTTATAAGTGTTTTTGTTTACCTGAGAAATATGTAGTGCTTAACTACATAGGAATAAATCTTCGGAATTTCTCCGATAGTGGCACTGAAGATGCCAGGGACGCCACACTCAGAGATCCAGTCCCCCAAGTCTTGCTGGAGGGCAGACAGGTCCTCTGCAGTCTTGCACTGTAGGATCTTAGAGATAAAATAATGTAGCCGGATTGATAAATTACAAAGGTTTAGTAGAAATGCTTTTTATGCTTTTACAAACTTTCACTGACCAAGAAGGAATGTATTTTTTTCTATCAAATCCTAACAAATATTAATTAATAACATAAAAATAATCAGGCACCCTTTTTGCTCTGCTTTGAACATCCGGATCAGGCAGCACACTGCAGTCAAATTGCTCCAGTTGAGCCTCCTGGCCGCACATCAGCTGGTACAGGCTGGGATCCAGGGCTTTGATACACGGACCTCCGTGTGCCACTGACCACGCAATTAGGCGGCCTGCTTGGAAATACTTGTGGCCATCTAATGCCGCTTGGTCATAGGTAAGGAAGACCTGACCAGCCTTTCCCTCGAATATTCCCATGGTTGTTTGTACTTCTATCATCAAGAGTCTACAATAAATCAATTGAGAAAAAAATACAGTACTATAACTTTGCAGTCAACCTGAAAACTAGGACACATTATGATTAAGAATCATACACTAAATGAGGTTATTCAGACCTGAAAAACTCTCTCTGTGGTCCACCCATGTCATCTCCATCTTCTCCTACAAATTCTATGTAGGGGGAATTGTTCCAGTAGAATGTAACCCTTGAGATGGCTTTTATTGCACTCTCAAGAAGTTTCTTCCTCCTGATGCAGATATTACTGACTAGGCCATCAGAAACGAATTCCTTTCTGAAGTCACTTAAAAGGACGGCCAGATCCACTTCTTCCTAAATCATTTAAAATGTATAAAGTCCATTATACATGACTGGTGATTGGTGAAGAGGGGTTGTCTGTCTTGGGTACTGGTGCTTTCGGAAATGTAGCGAAATTATTGCATTTAGTATGTGTCATTATCAGTTCCCGGAAACAAATGTTGTCCTATTTTTTAATAATGACAAATAAAACTTACCACGGGAAAGACATAACTTTCCAAAGTCCCAAAAGCCTCGTCCTCGCCCTCTTCCTCCTCATCAGAATCATCAATTAAAAAGTCATTGAATGAATTCCTAGAAAAAAAACATGTTTCTTTATTTTAAGAGGATATATAAATAATATATAATTAATTATTATAATATATATATATATAATTATATATAATAATATATAAAGGATGAGAACAGGGTATTCAGTTAGCTTACATTCAAAACCAATACACTGTGTTAATTATGTATAAAACACCATTATCTATAAATACCTGTTTGGTTGTTCCAAACGTGACCTTCTATAAAAGACCTTGAAAGTAAAAATGATGCATGAAATGTTAATGTCCTTATTAAAACGTGTATATACACACTACAAATACTGAACTATACAGCCATATACAGTAAAGCTTTACCTCTGGAGTCCCAGCATTTACCCATTGTGCGGAATGCAAACTTTCCGTTGATTGACAAGAGGTAACAATTACATCCAACTGTCTTTTACTATGTTTATTTTCAAAAATCTCCTGAGATGAATTCATAATAAGATATTTTTTACATACATCAGCGTCCATAGATACAGAAGTTGATGGGGGTGTGGGAGCAGTGGTTGATCCCGCAGTTTCAGTGGCGGCCGAGGTAGAGGCGGCCGAGGCAGAGGGTGCTCCTTCTGAATCAGTGGCCAAGGTAGAGGCGGCCAAGGCAGAGGGTGCTCCTTCTGAATCAGTGGCCAAGGTAGAGGCGGCCGAGGCAGAGGGTGCTCCTTCTGAATCAGTGGCCAAGGTAGAGGCGGCCGAGGCAGAGGGTGCTCCTTCTGAATCAGTGGCCAAGGTAGAGGCGGCCGAGGCTGCTCCTTCTGAATCAGTGGCCAAGGTAGAGGCGGCCGAGGCAGAGGGTGCTCCTTCTGAATCAGTGGCCGAGGTAGAGGCGGCCGAGGCAGAGGGTGCTCCTGCAGGTCTAAGGGCCGCAGAGGCAGAAGATGAGGCCATCTGTGGGTTGGATGATAAAAAAGTTTAGGAGAACTTGATGGACGAAACAAGCAGCTTAAAAAGTAACCAATATCAATCTCCTAATATTAAAGAATTAAGTATAACATAGATATATGTAGAATTTATAACATAGTAACAGTAGTAAAGAATAGGCTCAAAACAACAACTCACCACTAACAATGTTGGTATGTCTGCCTGCGGGATTATATAAACCCTGCTCCTGCCAACATATCTTTTAAGGTCTGCCATAGTAGTAGCCTGCAGTTGCGTTAGTAGCCTGGAGTTGCCAGCTCTTGCCAGAGTGAACCCAATCATATTCAAGGGAATTGTAGGAAAACTTTGACAAACATAGCTGTTGAACTCTAAAAGAGTCATTGAGAGCTTGACATAGCTTCGTTCTGAAACAACCCCTTGCTGGTCATGAGCTGGGATTCCTGTAAAAAAAAAAGAAAAAGAAGGTGTCAGTCAATATACTGGCTCTATAAATAACTATGATTTAGATTCTAAGCCATATCGTGTCTTTATATGAAGTGAAAAATATACATTTATGAACATATGGTCAAAAAAGGTGCCATATGAATGAAGGCTCATCCTAGACATTGACTTTGTTATGAATGGAAAAAAGCTATTATTAATATTTGAACAATGTAAGCCAATGATAGAATAGGCATAATGTGTATGTGTTTTTAGGCAGTAAAGGTAAGCATTGCTGCCAAAAGTGGAGGTGATGGATTAAAGAGATTATTTTTTAATGTTTTCAACCTTGCACCCAGGCCATACAGAAATAATATTCATATCAAACATTGAAAAGTCTTCAATGAAGTTGAATGGTGTGCAAAAATGGTGTGCATTGTCTGTGCAGATAATGAATCAGTCTCAAGTGGATGCTCATTTTTCAAACCTATTTAATTATTTACCTAAACCTTCTCTTGACAGTCGGCTGCTCTCTGTAGGTGCTGGAAGGACGGATTGGTCCGCCAATATGGCAAGCCATTTGAGTATTTATTCAATTTCCTTGATATCAGACGACAGCGGACTACACTAGTTGGCTCTTTGATTTCACTTGTTAGATATATGGTCAAACTAGTCAGGCACTCTGCTTTACTAGTTGAATAAAACATTTCACTAGTCGCTCTTTTTCAGCAACTAGTGGCACTTTTGTCCGACTAGTTAACACGTATGCCTTACTAGTGACGCCAGGAGCAGCACTAGTAGCGCCAAAGTCCCAACGTGTAAGCTTTTTGATGAACTAGTGGCCCTCTGACCGTACTAGTGACCCTAAAAGTCTTACAAGTTAACTAGTGCGCTGCAAAAGCTCTGACATGTTAACTAGTCACACAAAAGAAGCACAACTAGTTAACATGTCAGAGATTTTGCAGCGCACTAGTTAACTAGTCGCACCCAGAATCACTCACTAGTTAACTAGTAAAGGCAAAATGTTCACTAGTTAACTAGTTGACGCCTCTTTTGACCTTACTAGTTAACTAGTGGGGCTCAAAATGTCTACACGTTAACTAGTGAACCCGTTGCCTTTTACTAGTTAACTAGTGAGAGAAGTTTAAATTCCACTAGTGAACTAGTGAGGCTTAAAATGTTCACTAGTAGCACTAGTGGATCCCAAATGTGCACTAGTCGCACTAGTTGCACAGAATGCTAATGAGGAGGAGGGGAAAGAACGCATCGAGGTCTCCTATTGGCCCTAAGATATAGAGCGCCACCCAGCCCAAATAGTTTATTTAAGAGCTTAAATACACTGTTTTAAAATATGACCATATTTACAAAAATATAAAACAAAAGTATTTGTGTAATTATGATCATATGACTCTTTATCAAATTAGGTAAGGACATTGAAGACTTTCTTAAAATTAGAAAGTTGCCTTAGGACTGCAGGCAGGAATATAGATCCTCTTTAACACATTTTATTAAACTGCAATTTGAAAAGTGCTTGGATTAGATTAGCATTGTGATAACAGAGGGACATTATTGATGGATAGAAAGAGGAAGTAACGCTCTTCGGATCACAGCTTTGAGAGATCGCCGTGACTTTCGTAAATATTAGTCTTGGCAAATATGGAGAGGTTGTTTATCTTCATACGGATCTATCGTTACCCTGATTTTAAGATCTGTCCAGTGTTTCTGATTTATTAATGAGCACCGCTTATAATATGTCCCACGTTCATATACTTTTGTGTCTCGAGTACCGGTGTTCTCACACACAAGCGTGCGCACATTCGCACCAACAAAAACACACACACAAAGCGGAACAAAGCAGAAACATGTATTTTTCTAGGTAAAACACACTGACTGACTTCCCACGGACAATATGTTAACAGTAGGCACTAATTAAATACCCGACTGATGCACCTCACGTCTTCAAGACGTTACTAAAAACATCGCAGAAGAACGCCCCCTCAGGCTCTCCCTCACAGAGCTGAACTGACCAATCAGAATCTGGGTCCTGCCTGCTTCATTTGCCTATGGCTGACTAGTTAACGTGTTGGCCATATGAACGGCAACTAGTTAACTAGTGGATACATATTGCAGCTTACACGTTAACTAGTGAAGGCAAAATGTTCACTAGTTAACTAGTTGAAGCCTGTTTTGGTCTTCTAAGCTGACTAGTGAGGCTCAAAATGTGCACTAGTTAACTAGTGAGGTCCAAATTGTCCACTAGATGCACTAGTACAATTGTTTTTACCTTACTAGTTAACTAGTTACACACACTTTATCTCACTAGTTAACTAGTGAAGCCTTAGAGGAGTCACTAGTGAACTAGTGACATAGATGTTTTTCTTACTAGTTAACTAGTGGAGGGCAATTTTTCTCACTAGTCAGGTTCTGTTATAAACATGTTAGACTTTGACCTGACATGTTACACATGTTTCTAACATGTAAGGCCTTTCCTTCAACTAGTTTGGCTTTTTTTGCACTAGTGAGCAACTGTATGCAACTAGTTAGCTATTAATTTAACATGTATGGCTTTTTCCAGAACTAGTGGATATTTAGAGACCACTAGTTGTGGTTTTGTTCTCTCTAGTTCAACACAATGACTTACTAGTTGACGTGTACGTGCAACTAGTTTACTAGTGATGTGTCAAAAAATGCACTAGTAAACATGTATGACTTTGAAACAATTCACTAGTTAACTAGTTGCACGTACACGTCAACTAGTAAGTCATTATGTTGAACTAGAGAGAACAAAAGCACAACTAGTGGGCTGAAAATATCCACTAGTTATGGAAAAAGCCATACATGTTAAATCAATAGCTAACTAGTTGCATGCAGTTGCTCACTAGTGCAACAAAAGCCAAACTAGTTGAAGGAAAGGCCTTACATGTAAGAAAAATGTGTAACATGTCAGGTCAAAGTCTAACATGTTTATGACAAAACCTGACTAGTGAGAAAAAATACCCTCCACTAGTTAACTAGTAAGAAAAACATCTGTGTCACTAGTTTACTAGTGACTCCTCTAAGGCTTCACTAGTTAACTAGTGAGCTAAAGTGTGTGTTATGGCAAGCCATTTGAGTATTTATTCAATTTCCTTGATATCAGACGGCAGCGGACTACACTAGTTGGCTCTTTGATTTCACTTGTTAGATATATGGTCAAACTAGTCAGGCACTCTGCTTTACTAGTTAAATAAAACATTTCACTAGTCGCTCTTTTTCAGCAACTAGTGGCACTTTTGTCCGACTAGTTAACACGTATGCCTTACTAGTGACGCCAGGAGCAGCACTAGTAACGCCAAAGTCCCAACGTGTAAGCTTTTTGATGAACTAGTGGCCCTCTGACCGTACTAGTGACCCTAAAAGTCTTACTAGTTAACTAGTGCACTGCAAAAGCTCTGACATGTTAACTAGTCACACAAAAGAAGCACAACTAGTTAACATGTCAGAGATTTTGCAGCGCACTAGTTAACTAGTCGCACCCAGAATCACTCACTAGTTAACTAGTAAAGGCAACATGTTCACTAGTTAACTAGTTGACGCCTCTTTTGATCTTACTAGTTAACTAGTGGGGCTCAAAATGTCTACACGTTAACTAGTGAACCCTTTGCCCTTTACTAGTTAACTAGTGAGATGCGTTTAAATTTCACTAGTGAACTAGTGAGGCTTAAAATGTTCACTAGTTAACTAGTGGATCCCAAATGCGCACTAGTCGCACTAGTTGCACAGAATGCTAATGAGGAGGAGGGGAAAGAACGCATAGAGGTTTCCTATTGGCCCTAAGCTATAGAGCGCCACCCAGCCCAAATAGTTTATTTAAGAGCTTAAATACACTGTGTTTTAAAATATGACCATAT